GATTCACACCTGACAGAAATCAGGATTCATCGTCATCGTGTGATCTGATGACTGTAAAATTTCATTATCCTTTTCCCGCCTTGGATTTGGTCGGATCGACAACCAGTGAGCATATTTGTTTTCGGCCTACCTTAGCCGCATGGCCTATTAATCAGAACAATGTATTTCCACTGCCCTGTACCGATTTTAGTGTGGCGAAAAATCCATAAATATGACGTGTTCTTCCTAATAAAGTTGTATCCCAGCAATCACAGGTCACTATTTGTTTTTTGATATTTACATGGCTTAGTGAAGCAGAGGGTACCACTAGCGAATAGACGTATTTAGCATATCATTTGAGTTGTTCATTGAGTCAGTATTAATATACCCACGCCTAAGTTCACTAGGTCATATCAACTGTCAAATAGATCACATCAATTGGCGACAGATACATGACAACATCCCAAGACCAGGTCCGACCCTTATTTTCTAATCAAACGAACTACGAGCATAACTAACCAAAGTCTGTACAGACCAAAAGGCTGACTTCGTAGCACATTTTTAAAGCCACAACAAGCTTAAAATACAGAGAGACGTGATTCTAATCAGGGCTCGTATTTTTTAAGGATCAGACACGAATCACACTAACCAGTGGTGTCTCCTATCCATAACAAAGTGATCTAAACATCTGACGCTAGCCATACAGGTTGGACACCGATTTCACAAGAAGTATAGCCTCTTTGACTAGAATATGACAGCTGAAATACATCAAACCACGCAAGAAGAACGCATTTCTGATGTTTGGAACATTTTAATCAAAGTTTCTAAGGTAAAATAGTTTATATGGGTAGTGTCCAACAATTCAAACTTTACTTAATTCCCTAGTTAACCGAGACGGTGAATTGTCTCCACCGTCCTTAAACATCGCTGCTGGAGTCATTCGATCAGGTCCCACTGCCTCGCCTCGTTTCAGATTACAGACAGCTTTTGTGACCTGAGTTGGGGACGGAGGACGGGTGTTTATATACCATTCAGGGAGGTGTTGTATGCCCAGCTATTGCAAATTAATGATTTCTGCTTCTTAGATATCATCGCCTCCATACTTCTAGTATCAATGGGAAAACTGTGCAACTCTCCTAACATTTCATTGAAAAATCTCATAAGATTAGAGGGAGCATTGTGATGCGTTATAAGGGATGATGACACCATCTTATCAGACAGATTGCTTTCCCATTATGTTCTCATCAGTCTGTACTTCTCGCGATGTATATACACATATACACCTGCACACAAATGTTTATAAATTCACAACTTCAACTACTCGTGATGACTTATATGTCGACCACATGAGCTGAATATGACACGGTGAACTGCAGTGGTAATGACAATAATGACGTGTTTCTAAACAGGCTAATAGTCGGCAATGCAAAGAGTGAAGTAACTTATAAAGGAGACATGAGAATGTGAGTGTTCTTACAGTCTAACCAGGTGGAATATTGGGAAATTAAAAATTGTGTAGTACTCCTGGTGGTGTCAGTTGGTGATTACAGTGTGAACGGAAACATATGTTGACTGAGTGGAGGCTGAATGCTTGCCTATGTGATTTAGTCCTCTGTGAAGTGATCTTATCTGTGATTTTACTTGGTTAAGGGCGCTTGTCAGGAAGCCGTGGACATATCTTTCTTACATAGAGGGACGTGTGAATAAAATACTTCACACTTCTCAACGAATACCTCAGTGGAAACTGTTCAACGTGAAATACTGAGTTCGGAAATGGGATCGTTCTTCTAGAGATCAGTCCTATAGTACGCATCATCTGGATGGCATACGAACTTGATCCTTGCTTATTTCAGGTTCGGTCCTCGTTCGAAGCAATCCTAAACGTTGCTAATCAGGTAGTAGTTGCAGTGAGTAGGGAAGGTTGGGCATGTGGCCAGTAATCTCACCGCTTGAAAAGCAACCTCGCTACTGAAACTTGACAGCTCAAGCTGGAAGCCCTATGTCCTACTCGGAACGCTAATGAATGAAAAACGGCACTGTTAGTTGTGGGGTATGTACATGCATGTGATTGTTGACAGACATTTATATCACACGGATTTGTAACTGTGGAGATAATTCCATGTCTTTCTAACTACAATAGGAATAATAATAATGATAATATGACTCAACTGTCACTACAAATATCAAATATGAACTGCCATCGACAATCCTGTAATATTATCTTTATAATTGTTTCTAGTGTTATTCGATAAAATTAGATGCAGTATTGTACCAAATGCTGAAAATTCCATACTGCATAATTAGTGCTGTTTTGGAATAAAGTAGAAATTTTTGTTGTTATTATTATTAGTAGGAGTAGTAGCACTAGGAGTAATTTTTTCAGCCAGTACACTGTACTTTGCTGTAATACCGAAATGGTGAAAATTTATTTTCGACGCTCTTTTTATCATATGTCACTTTCTTATTCACTGCTCTTCGTTACAACTGAAACCTAAATCAGTGATAACACCTGATGAAATAATATATGTCGACTCGCTGGAGGATTTCATCATGAGCTGATTGATATCAGTTGGAGAACCGTTGGTAAAGCTGTGAATACTGGACAGCTGCCTCGTCCTAGTTTGGGACTCTTCATCGGTATGCATCCACCGGGATTCTAACTGATGTCAGCTCATGATGAAATCCTCCAACCAATCATACAAAAAGTCCCCTACAAAAAAATATTTGAAAATATATGTTGGCCTAAAATTGTTCTTGTCTAATTTGAATTTCTTCATTTGTATCTTTTAGTCATGAGTCACCTTTTCGGTTGAAAACCAGTCATTCATTCTTGTTATGATTCGTATGACCCTTTCGTAAGTTTGAAAATATTTAGTCCTATTACATTACGTCATATGAAGGTAGCATTACGTCACACGTGACACGAAAAACAGGTCAACTGCTTTAACTGAACTACGATTATTTAGTTGAAGTTTCCTAAAACTATGTCAAAAACTGAATGCAAAGTTTTGATAGGTCATTCATGTCGGGGTCGTTGATGAACTGCCCTTGTGGTTACTAGTAATCACATTTGAAATTAAACATTCAGAGTTGAGACTGGCGAGAATATGCGTGAATTGCGTTCACAAAACACACGGAAAGATTTTTGTGGAAATTTAAGTTTATGTTTCAAGTGGCCCAGAAAGAAAATTAACGGAAATTTAGAGGACTCAAGATCATTTAATAGATCATTCAGGAATAACAAGAGGACTACTAATGAAGACTGTAACTCGCTTGAAGGGAAGAGAGGAGAGTCAAAGAAGAAAAAGCAGTAAGTGATTGATTTGATTCATTTCGTTATTTAATGTTCACTGGATGTTAATTCTTTTGGGTGTTATTTTTCAAAGTCTTGTGTTGTCTCCACATGGAAGTATTCTGTAGAACGCAGACTGCAGTGATACTCTTGTCATCGTATCTGAACTCAAACGATAGGGCGAAGCCATTGGATGAAGATAGATTCAGACAGTTAATCAATAATAATAATTCACTATAATGCATTTATAACTGTACAGGCTAGTGATAAAGTTATCGAAAAGAGTATACTTTGTTCAGTAACCATTCTTCTGAATACTTGAAAGGGCACTTTTAATTAGTCAATAATAATCTACTTTATTCGAAAAACAGTACTTATAATACAGAATGGATTTCTCAGCATTGGTAAGGAAACCACCACATTGACCGGTTTCTAACAGGCATTAGAAATCACGCGTAGAACCTATTAGGAGGAATCGCTTGAAACATTATTTGAATAAGGAATATTTCCAACTCCATAATCGTTCAGTATTCTGAGTTTTCGGTACTGTTCTGCATTTTCCATGCTAACAAATCTGAATGACTTCTTGTGAATGTGTTCTGGCGATACCTGAATATATAGACACACAGAGAGAGAGAGAGATAGAAAAGTAAACTGACATTGTTGAGTGAGTCGAATTCATGCATAACAGTGAGATCGGTTGTATTGTATGGAAAACACTACAGTGACAAGCTCTGACGAAGGTCGTACCATCTTAAGTAAGGATAGGCTAGAGATGGTAAGTGTAGACGAGGAGTTCTGAGGTTGTTCACAGCCTTCTAAGTGACAAGTATATCATGAACAATGGGAAATTATTATTGTCTTCTGAGTTAATATTATTTTACCAGGTATAAGTATAAAACTTGGGCACTGTGGTAGAGTATAATTCCATAATGGATAAGAATTTATTTTGATAAATCACACAGTGTAGTACAGTTATCTTCACTGATGACGTTTCGAGCACAAACTATTGCTCATAATCATATCAAGTTTTACCAGGTGTTGAATGAATACAGAGGAGACATGAGGACGGGAGAACTTTGAAATTTTGACAACCAATCTCTCTCAATTCAGACTCTTCATTCTATCGATCTTGCCCACCCGATCGAACAAAAGTGGTAGATAATAGACGAATGATTGTCGTGGACAATAGTAAGAGAACAAATGGGTGAATGTTTGGTTATGTGACAGCAGTTCACCGATTTAAACCATTACTACACCCAATAATTTCCGATTTTAACCAGAATTTGTCCATTTTTGTCCGTCTGAGAATGATCAGGTGATCTTCCAACCACTCATCTTTCAACCTAGATAGTGATATCCATGTTACACGCCATAACCAAGTTCATCACAGTTGACTTATTATCTCAAAATATTTGTAGGAATTATCGTCATTAAGATAAGTATTTCTATGTGAGAGGTGAAGTGTATTGTCACTGAGATTCAATAAAAGCCTCCGGGATGTCCTTCTGCGATCACACGGCTGAAGAAATATATCATGGTGCATTTAATGATCGCTTCATATGTGAAAATCTGGAAGTCGCGTCATCGTCTAAAGGAATCCTAATGGCAATCTTCAATAGGTCGGTCTCTCCAACTGCTCTAAAATAACTCTGGTAAACTCTCAGCTATTCAAGATTTCCTATATTCTCAATGGATACTTTGTCCCAATCTCGATTTCCACTTGTAGATTTCGCGCTGACACAAGCATAACATTGAATGACGAGTGTCCTGATGGTAATAACAATGAGCTTTGGATATCCAGAAAATCACAGAACAGATTGTATAGAAGCATGTATATTCCGAAGGAAAGATCCAATCTTGTTCCAATTAGGCAAGCTTCACTCGGATGTCAGAGAATATTGCCAATGATCAAGGTGAGAGAGTTATTGATATAAGGATATAAAACTTAGGCAAACTGGTGATTTCATTACGGATAAAACTTTATTTTGACAAAGTCACACAGTGTCATACACTAATATTTACTGATGACGTTTCGAGAACAATTTATTGCTCATGATCACATCAAGGCACTCACACAACGTTCTTGTTTCGTTCATACACATGAGTAAAAGTTGATTAGACATTTGAAGAAAACCAATATAAGACTTGAGTGAAACGGAGAGGAAGATAAAGTACATTCGGAAATAATATCAGTAAAATACAATAGGATGGGAAATAAGACGAGTGCTGTTAGTCAGTAAGATAGGAAATAAGATGTGTTTTTTTTACAGTAAAAATAAGTAGCTTGTTAGAATGTTATAATGAGAATTGAATGCATTTTAACATTATTTATTATCCTCCTCTGGTTTGACTGGTAGTAATATCTTCCATATCTCTGGTATTTGCGTTGAGTCTCTTCTATTGCATGTGTTGGGTGTAGACTCGATGAAGCAGGATTCGGTAATCAATCTCTCTCTCCACCTACCTACCTATATCACCTTTTAGAATTTTGACTCTGTCCTACCCACCCTACTGTGTGGTTTTGTGTTAATGCATGCAGTGCTATTGCTGAGTTTTTTCTCTCAAATAGTTATCTTCGTGGAATCAATCATTCTAACCGTGGCTAAATTCTTATGTTCTGATAATCTGACTACTCCTGATCTACTAGTCTGACCTATGTAGTTGACCCAACTCATAGTCATTGCAAGGTTTTTTGTCACAGAATTGGTTGTATTGATAGCATTAGTAGTAGAAACAGAAGAAGTGTTAAAACAAGAGACTAAATTTGACAAGAAAGCGGCCCTTCAATCAGTGCCAAACACTGGTGTACATTCAAACGTGAAACGTTGAATAGAAAATCATATGTAAATATTCCGCCTGAATCAGTTAAACAAGAATTCAAGGCTGTCAGATCGTGTCATTATATAATATGCTTCCGGATAAATGAAGAAGTCCATGGCTATTGTTGTAAAACTTTTGTTATACCATTATGTTAACATTTACGTGTATGTACGTGAAATGTGTCTCCGGCTTCGATTCACTTCTGCATACATGAAATGTCATGTATTCTCCTGTCGTAGGTAGTATATTCGTTACCCATCCGAAATGTCGCAATATTTGTTTTCATTTGTCCTTGTGAGTCTGTATTTGTGGAGTGAACTGACTCTAACAAATAACTGCAACTCTCGTTCTTTTGGTCCAGATGCCACAGAATGATGGGAGGTTAAATAATTGTATTACTGTTTGTTACGATCTCGGCTCGATGCAGTCGCTGACCAGTTTTGCTGAACAACTAGGATCATCGATAAAATATTCGTAGTAAGTATTGTCAAGCCTCAATAAAGTCTGCTTATCAGTTTGGGTAATGAAATATTTCCGACCTAATTCGCTAACTCCAACTTGATATGTGATTATATTCATGAATATATATTCTGACAACTACACAGTGACTACAGTTTACTTACAGCGAAAGAATCCCATCCAGCTGCGACAAAAATACCTAATAATGACCTCGGTGATATCATATTCCTTTTATGCCTCATGTTTTGTATTCTGTGCAATCGGCAGTGTTGGTGTATCGTTTGGTCACTGAATGAAATGGACCGTCACTTGTAAAGAACAGCTATTGTTCAGTGCTTTCGATTAATAACAGCTAAGACCGACTTTTAAACTAAGTCTTATGGAATGTTCTTCATTGGTTCATCGGTGTGTCAGTTGTTCAGTCAGTAAGTCAGATAGCCAGCTACTTTTCAGTGATTATGATTTGGTGATGTGATTTAGATCTGATGGGGTGTCTAAGTAGGCTCGCAGACAGACTATGAAATAATAATATAATATGAATATGTGGTGCCGAAACACTGCATAGAAAATGTTGGCTTAGACGACGAGATACTGTTGGACGCCATCCAAATGGTGTTGCTGACATAGTTACGTGCGACCACCTTTCCTTATCATTCGTCTCTGCACATCTCATGTAATTACAATGAAATATTGTCTACAATAATAAGACACTCCTGCTTTTTCTTTCGTAGACATCAAAGTACGTCAATGATGCTTCATCGGAAACGTCAGCAGAATCACCACCGCAAACACCTGCTGCACCTCGACGCCATCCTACACCTCCACCCCATGCTCCAAAACGACCACCACTACCACCAATTTGTTTCCGAGTTCCACTACCGCCTTTTCCACAACCTCCACCACCACCACCATTCTTTCTATCGCCTTTATCCACGCGTTCCAACGATCAAGCCACACCAGCGCCTGGTGAGTTAACGTTCTAACTCATTTGTCAATGTACTTTACTTTGCTGTAGTACCAAAATGGTGAACACGTGTTCTTCATCTTCATATTATCATATGTTGTGTTTTACTCATAGCAGTCACATACTTCAGCTGAATGCAAGCGTGAGGACGGTAAACATCCATCAGCAGTGATCTGAAATGGAAAGAGTCACAGATATGCACCAACTGACCAGGGAGTACTGGACAGCTGTCTCGTCGTTGTTCCAGACTCTTCAGCAGTATGTGCCCATGGCCCCACCACGGATCGAACCAAAGACCTTTGGGTTACAAGATGAACTGGTACACCATGGAAACACTGGGACGTCACCTGACCTAGCAGACACAATTTACTGTGGACTCCTATCAATCAACTGATTGAAACGGAAAGCAGGCGTATAAACGAATTTCGTTGTTAAGTACAGAGCCAATGATAGTGATAAAGAGTGGCACATGCACTAGGTTTGTGCCCACCAGGGATTGCATACTCCTCAGTCTTGAATTCAGCATTTCACTGTATAGTGAATATGTAAGTTCAACCATTATAACGCGTTAAATAGAAACTAACTTTCGGAAAAAATCATGTGGTGAAGCTTGTAGAGTATTTCACCTACCGATTATGCACAGACAACTCCTATCTGGCTGATTATTTTTACGCCACCACCGGATTCGTGACGCCAACTACAAATCAAAAATTGATTTCTCTCAAAGTCAATTACCAACTAATCTTTGGTCACTTCCATAAAATACACTTCGCTATATTAATTCTCCTACCTCGCTACCATCTTTTCCTCTATTTGAACAGAGTTACCGATGCCATACAACATGAAACCAAAGGAGACATTCTCGACTGCATTCAGATTGAAGAAGGCTTGCGTATCTCTGGTAAGTGTTCAGTGACATGTGTATATGTCAGTGATTTTAATAATAATAATAATAATAATTGTTGTTGTTGTTGTTGCTGTTATCACTATTATTATTATTATTATTATTATAATAAAAACACAAACCTCCACTGAGAGAGATTCCACAGACTGCGATACCCTCCAGATGCCCAGATGGAGGCAGGTGGTTGTTTTGCGACAACCCTATGGGTCTTTCATTTAAAGTATTATCCAGAATGCAGTGGGCCAGCGTCAGCAACAATGTTCCCATGATTGTGTTCCACTGACCACGTGTACGGCTGTAGTTGACCATTTTTCTGAATTTCTCATGTTTTAATGAACACTTACTTATATTCTAGTGAACCAGTAGTCTATTCCACTCTGGTTTACTTCTCTGGCGTATGCATTTACATTTTTCATCGATGAATAAAACTCTTTTTTAGCATGCACAAGATGATGTGAATGTGGACTTGACAAGGAGATTTGGAACTGTGAAAGTGCGTGACGTGCCTGTCGAACCTATCAGTCGAATGAGCCTATTGAAGAATAGAAATAGAAGTGTTCAGATGTCAGTGAGAGGTGGTAATACCAGATTCTCCGAGGTAAGTCCATCCATTGATGTTCATTTTTTCGCTTGCACAAATTCGGATATTATTGGCTAGGAGTGGTAATTACATGGCTTCTCCAGGAAATGTGCTTGACTAATTACTCAGACAAGTAGGTATTTTGAATCACTAGTGGGCAGTTAGGAGCGGATGGACATTATATCTCCGATCTACGGTATCTTTCAAAATAGGTGGGTTACTACAAATCTACTAATGTTTCTCAGTGGAGATAAGTCGGACAAACATGTGTTACAATCTCAGTGAATGTACCTGAAATGTGTCTCCGGCTTCGATTCACTTCTGCATATATGAAATGTCATGTTTTCTCCTGTCGTAGGTAGTATATTCGTTACCCGTCCGAAATGTCGCAATATTTGTTTTCAGTTATCTTTGTGAGTCTCAATTTTCGGAGACGAGCTTGAATTTTAACATTTTCACCTGAGTTCATGTCACACTATTCGCTTTCTACTGGTTTGCGCTTCACTTGTTATTTGTGACAGTGGAAGTGTTTTCTGTGATTAGGTTTCTGTAACACGTCGCATATTGCGTGTTTTTATTGTTTTACTTACTGCTGTGTTTGTGTATCACTCATTTCTCTACACGACACATATTTGCAGTGTGGTATTTGCAGCCTATTCGAATGAGGTACTCCTATTTTTATTTTTCTCAGATTTTCGAATACGATGAGTCATCATTCACTTCACAAGGATCATCTCCAACCTATGCTTCGGAATGTGAACCAGTGTCAAGTCGAATAAGCTGATCAATAAACAATGTTGAGGTCGACCGCTTCAGTCACATTAGTGCAATGTGAGTTGGCTATCTGATTCATTGGTCAATGTACTGACTGCACTTCACTGCAACACGAAATTCGTGAGCACTTATTTTCTATCCTACTTTAATCATATGCTACTTTCCATTCATTGTCTTTACACACTTTGCATCATTTAGATCCATGTATGTGAACAATAAATATTCATCAAGATTAGCCTGAAATACATTGTAGTGAGTGGTAGTTATGTACAAACCGATCTACTGAATACAATTCACTATGATATTTTCCCAAACAGTTGAAACTGAAAAGAAACGAACGAATGATTTTTGTAGTTGAACAAAAGGTAGCAATAGGGTTAATGATAATAATAATTTGCTTTATTCCAGAAACGGTACTAGTGGTACAGTATGGAATTTTCAGCAAATATCTACAATATTTGCATCTAATTTTATCAAACATTTAAAAGGAGTATTTCAAAAAACAAGTATAAAGACAGCAACAACAAAAAATAAAACAACACAAAAATAATAAAAATATATACCAAGAAGTAGAAAGGAAAATCAACTACATAAAATAATATCTCAGTATTGGGTGGTGGAAGCTATGATATGATTGTGCATGGTGACAGTAAAGTTGTAGTCATACAAGAAGTTATGAAATGATATTTAAGAATGTTTATCGCCAAGATGATCAGTTAATTTGGTTGAAGCAACACTAAACAATGATAAAATAACATTTCAGGGTTGTTTTTTTATTGTCAGGTCTAATGCGGTGTTTGTAGTGGTCGTGTGAGTAATCCTACATAATACAAAATTTTCAGATGGTGATAATGGTGTCCACAACCAAGATTGTCAGTTAATATTGCCGAACAAAAAAAAAAACAACTCAATATGAGACTTCTTGTCCGATAGAATATTCGAAATCGATGTCCAGAAACTGCTGATAAGAATGCAGGTGTTGTTTGCTGTAATTATCTCACCTCGTTCTGAATAGGAAGCTAAGTGAGTAAGTGATTATCGGGGCATAAGGATGCTGCACAGTATTCTACACATCAGAATAAGACTAAAAGTAAGGGAATAACTGCTGCAGAGAAATGAATTTCGAGGCATTCTTCCAACTTTAACTGAACTACTGAGGAAGTCATACGATAGATATGCATTAAAGTTCAATAAAGATGTAGAGCTTCTGTATCTCACCGGACCATCAAAAGTAGAGCAGTCGAATGTGACAACTAGACAGATCAATTCAGTGACACGACCCCATCCAAAACATTTTTGACATTCCTCAGAATCATAGAGCATTTCTAAGCCTACAAACACTACTTCCATTTATGAAGACAGGTTTATAGAAAAGAAAAGGAGTTCAGCAAAGTGTTACTCTTTTCGGCGATATCATTCTCAAGGTGTACAAACCTCAAATTTATAGTAATTTTTCTTGGCAACAAAAGGAATATTTCCAAAGATGTGTTAATGCAATTGTTAATTTTTGACAGTAAATTACGTAATTTAGAAGGCGTTAGTCGGTTAGAAACTAAAATAAAGTTACAAAAGTAGTTTGGGTGACGTAATCTATTTGATAGGGTTCAATGAAAAATGAATGAGAGTTAAGTTGATTATCTGAGTAGAATTCACTTGAAAATAAACGAAAATGGAGTTAGCAACAGTCGTCACGAAGGTAGAGATTTAATAGAGGGTGGGGGTAGAAAATAATGCAATTAAGAAACAGACAAACAAAGAAGAAAGAGGTAAGACAAAATTACGTATTTGGTGTTAAGATAGATCAAGACCATTGTAGATTTAGTGACTGAACAAACTTCTTTTGTATGCAGAGTTCAGGATTCAATGTGTGAATTGCCATTGCTTCTGCAGTTTGAAGAAGTTTAATTCGTACTCTTTTGGCAAGATTCGTACGTATTGTGTAGATAAGTGAGAAGTTGTTTTTTGGGTTTGCTTGGTGTCCGGATTCGATCAAGTGTTCTAGGTTTATTGGCAACAGAATTTTCTAAATACCTTTTATGGGTTTCCAGTCATCACAGTTGTGTGTGTGTGTGTGTTTGGTGTAGATTAAATAAAGACTCCGTGATCTATTTTGTACTGATTATATTAGATTTTAGAGCTTACGCTTTATCTTATCATATCGAACGTCAGCCCACGAATTGGGGAAGCCGTAATTCTTCCTGATGATTGATGTTTTGAGGATCGCTTACTCTATATTTAGTGATTCTTTTGTGCTCAAATTTTCTGACTGACTCCGTCAGACTGCTTCAACCTTTATACCTTACCGCAAGATGATTATGCGGCATTTTATAGTCTGAATGATTTTGCCCTTCTGACGATTAATGCAGCTTCGTTTTCAGATAATTAATGAATATAAAGCTGCTTTAATTTCAGTTTCTTTAAGGAAACGATGAAATTCTTTGTTATCCTTTCATTTTACGGCAGCAACATAGAAGTTCTGGACTTCATCTTCCGGTCACTCAGTCTTTCATTTCCCCCCTATCAGATCTCATTAACATTTCAATGTATTCTGGCAGTTAATTACTGGGTAGTAATGCCTGTTTAACATGTTTTAATTTTGTGTTTAATTTTAATGAATCTCGCCTTAAGAGTATTAGATGAAGGAAAGTAACATCTAGGTATGTATCATAGTGCTTTTTTACTGTGCACAAGATGAGGCGATGAGATTTCTTTTTTTGTTCATTGGGACAAAACTGTGATAGTTTGTCAGCTGTTTATTCCATTTTGGCTTGCGGTAAATTGATCTTTGTAGGCTTCCATCTGATCGTCTAGTAAGTTGGACATCTAGGAAGGATAATTTACCTTTTGATTCCGCTTCAATTTTCAGTTCGACTGATTAGTGAGAGTTTTTGAAGATTTACAGGATTTTGTTGAGGTGAGTATTTTCATCAGTGATGAGAAATATATCATCTATATACAGATTGTACACTTCGAACTGTTTGATTTCTGGTAGGAGGAATATATGCCTCAAGGTACACCATGAAGCAATGGACCAAGTAGAGAATCCATTGCTACTTTATCCTTCTGGCCGTACATTTGACCATTGAATAAAAACTGAACATTTGTTGGGTGCATCTTAGGGTTAGTTCTTTGAAATGCTTAGTGGGTATACCAAAATTTAGATTATTCGAGTCGATAGACTCACATAGGTAGCATACAGTTTCCGTTAAGGTGACATTGGTGAATAGAGAGACTGCGTCGAACGAAGCTACAGTTGACCCAGTTACATTTGCGAATTCACCAGTTCCAGGTGAAAATTCACGGGGGTTTCCAATGGAATATTTGCTCAGCTTGATCCCATAAATGACAATGAAGAAAGCTAATGAGAAGAGCATGATGGTGTATACTGTGGATTGATATGAGTAGTCGGGAATCAGTCACGTTAATCAGTAGTGCCTACTAGCCAGATAGAATTGATCCAAACGCCGGACAACTTTTTCGTTCGTTTGGCGCCGAGCTCATCAGCGGCGTACCTAATAGACTGAACTCAGAGTCAAATCGGTTTAAAACACCCGAAATGGATTCTATATAGACTAATATAAAGAATTTATAACTGACTAAATTTGAGAGCGCAGTAATTTCTCACTAGGCTTTACAACTAGATAGTGAGCTTATTAATCCCCAAACATTTAATGCCAATTGGTCAGCAGAAATAAAGTTCGCATATATGCAAGCCGCTACTTACTATTGATTGACATGAGTAGTTGGACACCACTGGCAACAATCAGTAGTGATTGCTATTCAGATCGAGGTGATCTAAACACAGAACAAAGTCTCGCCTGTCCAGAGCCGAGGTCGTCAGCGATGTATCCTACTCAGATGAGAACCAAGTCAGTTAAAATCATCCGAATTCTAGCTAGCTACCTAGGCGAACTGGTAATAGATTGAACTGAATTCGCGATTTTCAGGTTGACTGCTATTTATGGCATCAAGCAGATCACATATTGTGATCTGAATAATCTCGACTACCTTAGGAAACTGGTGGAATTTCACCACGAAGTGTGTAAATGGCGAATCGGGAACTAACTTGCAAATTGCGATATTGATGGGATTAAAGTTCAGGTATATGCATTAGTGGATAATAGTCAAGTTGATTGTGGTTATTATCACAAGGATAAGTTTATACAAGCGTCAATCATTGTGAATGTGTATATTTGTAGGGACGTGGGGGCAAAATATCTGTCTGGTAGCGATTAAGTAATGGAGTTCTTAGTTTCATGATGAAACGTACAATTGTAATACCCCGTGACGATGATGAAAAGATACAGGTGACATTAAAAGTAAAGATAATAATGACAGTTATCACCAGGAGAGAAAACTATTCTAGGTTGGGAGTGAAGGTCCATAGGAGGGAGACGGACTGGACAAACTTCTTCTGAACACAAATTGGGTTGGAATATTTTGTGGCGACTGCTTCAGCAGTGCTTAGGAGTCGAAGACTTACAAATCTACAGAACTTAGTTGACACCTTGTATGGAACTGAGTTTTTATCAATCTAGTGCTCTGTATCCACCAAGTTTTCTAGTCTGACGAAAATTATGGTAGCCGGAATTTCAAGAGGTCGTAACAGAAGGATGTCTTGCTCTATCTTGTAACATGCACTTCCGTTGACCCTTAGAGGATTGAACCGGCAAATACGTGTAACATGTATCCATGACTGCACTTGTCTCTTCAGTGTTTAGATTAATTCTATCTAGCCATCAAGTGATGATTAGTGTAAGTAGTTTCTAACTGCTCATATCCATCAGTAATGTAAACCAGCATGCTGGATTAAATAATACCAAATGATCTGTTGATGTCTGATTGACAACGACAGATTTATCTCTACACGAATTTGTTGGCGAAGGCAATACACTATCACTAATATCTTCTTATCATACATATTTGACGCATTTGTAACGACGATAGGTTATTAGATGTGGGGTTTTGTTGATATTCAGATAAGTTTAGTTCTTAAAGGATATCATATCCTCCTGCAGATCTCTAGAATTCTAAGTGATCAACATA